GAGTCGCCATGATGCTCCCACTCCAGACAGACGCAGGTTAAGATCCTCTCTGGTAAGCCAGCTCATGGGCTACACAGAATATTAGAAATGGGTTAGAACAATATGTAAGAGCTAGCCAATAAGAAACTGGACCTAGCCGGGCCAGGCAGTGTTTGAAAGAATACAGTTTCCGTGTAATTATTTCGGGCATAAGCTAGCCATGCGGGCGGCCGGGTGCCGGGGATGCAGCCCTGCCGCTCCTATTTCAACAGACACACCACACACACATACACACATAGAGAGAGAAAGAGAGAGATAAATATATTTGTGAGTTCCTGACTATATCACACATACTTGATCTTCCTTATTCCCAATGGTGCCAATCATTGGTTGAAGTGACTCTGTCTCACTGCAGAGGTGAATGAAATGTGGTATTTTGGACAAGACTCCAGACTGCCCCTGGATTGTCTACAATGTCTCCCTTCTTTCCTCAGCTGCTTCAAGCTCTTAGGAATGTGCACTTCAAGACTCCCGATGGAAGTGAAATTATATTTGATGCCAATGGAGATTTGGTGACATACTTTGATATATTCCAAGGACAGAAGACCCCTGATGGTGTATTCCGTTCAGTCCATGTAGGAATGATAGACCCTCAAGTCTCTTTGGGGAACAAAATGATGGTCCATTTGAAGAACAAAATCCAAGTGAGTTTCCTGAATGCAGAGATGAACTTATTCCAGTGTGTTAAAGTCACAGGGAAATTTCAGGTCAGGGGTCTTCGTTGCTACTTCGGCACCAAATTGATGAGGCTTTGGATTGGGTCAATCAGTTATAACTGGCTATGCTGTTTATCTCATTAGAGATCTTTCTCTGAATGATATTGATTCACCAGCAAAAAGGAAAATATAAAAGGTGGGGTTGGGAGATTGCTCAGTGGTCAAATTGTTTTGTATGCATTATAAAGAACCAGACTTTGGATCTCCAGAACACTTGTACATGCTGAGTGGGCAGTGGGTCTCACCTGTAATTTCATCCCTGGAAGATAGAAACAAGGAGATGCCCACAGAGACCTGACCAGTAAGACTAGCTGTATCAGTGAACTCTGGGTTTTCCTTTGAACTTCTGCCTCAATGAACACAGTGGAAAAGCAATTGAGGATGAATCTCAACATTAATCTTGGGCCTCCACATGTGCTTGTTTATACATGAACATGAGTCCACATAGGTGTACAAATGCATGCATACATATTTACACCACCCACACTTATGGATATGGGGGAAGGTTTTAACAAACAAGATGTACAAATACAATGAGAATCTGTAGTTGGTGCTCCCTTGGAAATATATTCAGTGTCTGTTCTCTGAGAAGAGAAAGATAGTGATACACTCAGTTAACTACCTTTCCATAGACCATCAGTTTACTTACTGTGTTAGTTTATTTCAGCCACAATTATAAATACCTGAGAACAGTTTGAAGTGAGGAAAAGTTTTAATCGTCTCATGGTTTGAGGGATTCAGGGTCAGATGTATCAATTGCTCTGGATGTGTGTAATTGAGGCAGTGTGTCATGCAGGGCAGCAGACATGTGGTGGGAGAATTTGCTGATGAGGGCATGTGGTTCAGGAAGTGAGGTGGCAGGGATCTTATTAGATTAGACTGTAACACAAGTTACATCTTACCAGTGCATAACCTCCGTGTCCCACTACCCTAAATCTAGTCCCATGTTCTATTTCTAATATGTATACTAATTTATCAGATTGCAAATCCATTGAGGAATTAATCCATTGATCATTCCAGAGGCATTCTCTTACTTAGGCTTTCTATTAGTGTCAAGAGACACCACAGCCAGGCACCTCTTATAAAGAAAAGGATTTAATGAGGAGGCTTACATTTTCAGAGGTTTATTAATCCATAATCATCCTTATGGATCATGGTGGCATATAGGCAGAAATCATGCTGGAGAAGGAGCTGAGAGTTCTACATCTTGACCTGTAGGCAACAGGAAGTGAACTATGCCACTTGGGATGACTTGAGCATATATGATACCCCAAGGCTCACCCCTCCAATGATATACTTGCTCCAACAAGGCCACACCTTCTCCAACAAAGCCATGTCTTTTCATAGTGCCTCTTCCTATCAGTTTATGTGGGCCATTTACATTCTAACCACCACATTCCATATCCTGGCCTTCTAAGCTTGTGACAATATTATAATAAAAACTGAATTTAGCCCATTGTACAAAGTTCTCACTGTTTATCACAGCTGAAACATGTTTAAAAGTCCAAATTCAGTCTCTTCTGAGATTCATGCAATCTCTTAACTGTAATCTCATATAAAATCAAAGTCAGAAAACAGGTCACATTCTTCCAGTATATAATGACAAGATATACATTACTGTTCAAAAATGTTAAAAGGGAGCATAGAGAAGAAATACTGGACCAAAGCAAGATGGAAAACTAGCTGGGAAAACTTTGTATCTTCATGCAAGATGTTAAAATGCTCTGCAGAACTCCAACTACTTTTAGCTTTGTTGACGACAACACTCTTGTCTCTCTTGGGCTCGTTCCACTCCTTGTTAGCAGCTCTCCTCAACAGGTTTCCTATAGCTCTGGCAACTCTAGCATCCTGGGGTCTCCAAGGCAATTCAGGCTTCACCTTCAATGCTTCATGCAATGGCCTCTCCAGTCCTTCATCCAGGGACTCCCCTACCACATGCCCCATCAGCTTTCTTTAGTCTTAGAGGCAAACTCCATAACCTCTCTCTGCTATCCTTAATGCCAGAACCATATGGCCAAACTGCCAAGTTCTCTTGCTTACTGCAGTTTGGCCTCTCATTCAATTACATCTTTACCATCTTTATGTTTCTGATGGTTCCATTAACTGCCTAAGTTTGACTGTCCTAAGATTGGATCTGTAGACTAGGCTGGCCTCAAACTCAGAGATCTGCCACCTCTGCTTTCTGAGTTCTGGAATAAAAGACATACACCATTATGCCTGGTCCTAAGCCTTTCTTTAATTTATTTTTGCTATTTAGATGTTTGTCTGGGTGAGATCTTGCCCTGAGTTCCCCATTCACTTTATTCCATTACTTAATCTGTTTATCACGTTGAACACAGGATTTAGCTCTATGCCAGGTCATGATATTCCTTTTCCCTTCAAATTTTACATTTTGTATTTTTCCTTGCTCAGCTTGCTCCTTTTAATTAGAAATTTTCATTAGAGTAATACTATTAGCCACATGATAGGGTCTATATTACGCTTTTTTGAGATTTTTTTTTTTACTGCCAATGAAATTAATCCAAAACTCTTCAATTTAGCACCAGGCAGACTCTGTGGACTAGTGCAAACAGCAGCCACACTCTTCACCTTAATAGCCCAAGAAAAATCTCTAGGCAATACATTAATATTCTTTACTTCTGAAACTTCTTGAGCCTGGCCCACAGTTAATCTAATCACAATCAGCCCCTTAGTCTCCCATGCTCCTAGTAGTATGGCAATAGTAGCACTAAGCATCACTTAAAATTTCCTACTGCTTTTCTAATCCACTGTCCCGTGGTCCACGTTTATTGAAGCAGAAGCTTTACCAGGGCTATCACTTCAATACCCAATTTTCAGGAACCATCTGCTGTCTTAGTTAAGGTTTCTATTGCTATGAAGAGATACTATGACACCAACATCTCCTAGAAAGGAA